TCCCCTAAGGCCTTACGTAGTACAGACAAACCCAAAAAGGGGGAAACTACACCACGACCCTGCAAGATTATAATGACACCTGAGTTAAAAACGCTGAAAGGCTGCAGTAATTAACAGTAAAAAAGCTGGGTTGGGCTTATGGCCATGTAATAGCTGGGTAACCCCCACATGGGGCCCCCCACATTGACCTTTCCTCAACACTCAAATTTCTCATTTTTATCCCTAAAAAAAATTTGGAAAATCCCCGGGCCTATGTGGGCAGGGGCAGGGTCGTCTGGTTATCATAGAGCTGTTTACTAACGTTACTTACAACCCCTTGGAAAACCCCTAAATGTCTTTAGCTCTGGCCCACATGAAGAAAATATGGATAAATATAAATGAAACCTGGGTTTTGTATGCCCTATTGGGTGCAAAACCCTAGTATTTCATAAAAGTGTTTTTGTTAAAATTTCCCCAAAAAAAATAATAAATCCAATAACCATTCCGACACCCCAAAAAATAAAAAATTACATTTAAAAACATTTTTATACAAACTAGGAATTGAAAACCCGGTTCCACGTATATAAATTAAATTTTTTTACTATTAATACTATATTAATGCAAAAAAAATCAAATAAAAAGGTGTATCACAAAATGCAGAAAACCACTGGAAAAAACTGACCTTCCAGTGCTTTCATGATTTCTCACATTATCAAGGAACTGTGAACATAAAAGATTAGCAAGGTGTAATCTTGCCCTTATATGCCTTCTGCTGATCCTTTATTTTTACAGTTCCTTGATAATGTGAGAACGCATAAAAGCATTTGGAAGTTCACTATTTCTTTTCACGGTGGTTGTTCTGCATTAACCTCTGGAAACAGAAAAAAATGGCAGCAAAATTTTCAGTGCTACTAGGTACTCTTCATTAATTCCATGGAAAAATAAGCCTAATGTAGTGATCGCACTTAAGGTAACATAGGCTGTGGCTAGAACTTTCGAGACTTGTCCAAATTATTATTATAATCAAAAAGAAGCGCTAAGCCACAAGGACTATACAGCGCGACTTGTCCAAAGCAAACCCTAAACCTTACATTTTCATATTATTTTCCCTTGGCACTGATAAAGTCCTCGCAAAAGACCCTGAAAAGCTTTTGCCAACCACTGTCGCCTCTTTCTGAAAGTTTTTTTTTTTTTTTTTTTCAACAAGTCGGCCGTCTCCCACCAAGGCAGGGTGACCCAAAAAAAAAGAAAGAAAATCCCCAAAAAGAAAATACTTTCATCATCATTCAACACTTTCACCACACTCACAACATTGTCCTTGCTTTTGAGAGTGCTCAGAATACAACTGCTTGAAGCATGACAAAAGGATACCACAACATATCCCTCCAAACTGGCCAAATTTCCAATATTCCACATAGTGTGTCTCATAATAGAATACACTGATAGTCCAGTAATTAAATTGGACATTACAGTCCATAAATATTGTTGTCTTTGTGTTCTGATTCGTAGCTGCACTGCTTGTCTGGACAAACTAACAATGATTTCCACATGGCCACAAAATTTAAACTCGTGTCGCTCTTTCACGGTCAAATAAGACAAATAACAGTCTCCTTACCTCTACACTCTTTTATAAATGTTAATATCAGTAACGTACTTCACAATAAAACTTAGTCTATGTTTATTACTTAGCCCAAATACGAGTATCGTTATTACTCAGAATACTGTTTGAAATTTAAGGTTGTCTTGAATGAAGTAAAATGCTGCCAACCTAAATAAGACAAAAACCTTTTACAAATCAACTGTTTGCACTACCAAGTTTCTCTATTTGATTTTCCAATGATTTGTCTAAAAAAAATTGGTTGTAACATTTCTCTATGCCCAAAATGCCAAGATTAAGCTAAAAAAAAAATAGCTTCATTTTTTTTAACTATAAACAAGTAATTGCACACGAAACGCAAGTGAGAAATTTTGTAGAACCTGAGTATATAGACGAGGAGCCCCAAGCATAAGGTAAAGTTGGCTTCTAGTGACTATTACACTGGATGCAGCCCCAGGAAGGCAGGAGAAGGGGAATCAAGGTGTAAACTACGAATATTACGGGCAAATTACTGGCAAGTGAGACACTGATGGAAACGGAAAGTGCCCAAACAACATTGTAGTGTTATCACAGACTGTCACAGGTATTTGGGGCAAGAAAATACAATAATGCAGAATCAACGAATAATATACTGCTACAGCTGATGGACAGCCATCAGAGTTGCAGAGGACACCAGAGCCTAGATTAAAAATAAAAAACTAATCTGGGGATTGTAGTTAAGAAACTATGGATGCTCCTCGCTTTATGATGGTTCGACTTATTATATTTTGATTTTACGATGGTGCAATAGTGATGTACATTATGTACTGTACAGTACTGTACATTTATTGATAGGATATATAATGTTTTTTTAGCACATTGGCCATCTTTCATAAAGGCAGGGTGACCCAAAAAAGAAACACTTTCACCATCATTCACACAAAATTACCGTCTTTGCAGAGGTGCTCAGTTACAACAGTTTAGATATCACTGTAAACAGCCAATATCCCAAACACCTCCTTTAAAGTGTTGGTATTGTACTTCCCACCTCCAGGACTCAAGTCTGGCTAACCGTTTTTCCTGAATCCCTTCACAAAATATTACCCTGCCTACACTCCAACAGCTCGTCAGGTCCCAGGACCATTCATCTCCATTCACTCCTATCTAACATCCTCACACATCTGCTGCATGTCCAAGCCCCTTGCACACAAAACCTCTTTTATCCCCCTCCCTCCATTCTTTCGTAGAATGACCCCTACCCCTCCTTCCCTCCACAGATTTATACACCCTACAAGTCATCCTGTTGTATTCCATCCTCTCTAAATGACCAAACCACCTCAACAACCACTCCTCAGCCCTCTGAATAATACTTTTAGTAACACCACACTTCCTCCTAATTTCCACACTTCAAATTCTCTACATAATATTTATGCCACATACACATTGCCCTCAAACACAACATCTCCACTGCCTCCAACCTCCTCCTCACTGCAGCATTCATAACCCATGTTTCACATCCATATAAGAGGGTTGGTACCTCTACACTCTCATACATTCCCCTCTTTGCCTCCATGGATAATGTTCTCTGTCTCTACAGATACTTCAATGCACCACCCACCTTTTTTCCTTCATTAACTCTATGGTTTACCTCATCCTTCATAAACCCATCTGCCGACAAGTCTACTCTGAAATATATGAACGCATTCACGTCTTCCATACTCCCTCTCTCCAATGTGATATCCAATTTTTCTTTACCTACTCATTTGATACCCTCACCACCTTACTCGTCTATGTTCACTTGCAACTTTTTTCCTTTATACACCATCCCAAACTCATCCATTAACCTTTGCAACATCTCTTCAGAATCTCCCAAAAGCACAGTATCATCAGCTATATTTAACTTTGTCAACTCCCATTTTGTATTATTTTTTTTTTAACAAACTGGCCATATCCTACTGAAGCAGGGCGACCTAAACAGAAAAACGAAACTCTCTCTTTTTAAATTTAGTAATTTATACAGAAGAACGGATTACTAGCCCCTTTCTCCTGGCATTTTAGTTGCTTCTTACTATATGCATGGCTTACAGAGGAAGAATACTGTTCCACTTCCCCATGGAGATTTTGTATTTGATTCCCTATAATTTAACCCTACCCCTCTTCCCAACACCCAAGCATTTACTTCTTTTACAACTCTATCTATAAATATGTTAAACAACTATGGTAACATTACACATCCCTGATTAAGACCTACTTTTACTGGAAAGTAGTCTCCCTCTCTCCTACACACCCTAGCCTGAGCCTCACTATCCTCATAAAAACTCTTTACAGCATATATTAACTTACTACCTATTCCATACACATGCAACATCTGCCATATTGCTTCCCTATCCATCCTATCATATGCCTTTTCTAAATCCATAAAAGCAACGAAAAAATATCAGAGCAACGAAAAAATATTAGGGTTTAATGTTATATGGCAGCCCACTCTTGTGTATCGAGTGACACTGTACAGTCAACCCCTGCAATGTCAGAAGTGTCAAGACTGTTTTTTTTTTAATTTGCTTATTTGCAGCTATATATACACACATTTATGCACACCCCTCTGGGTTTTCTTCTATTTTGTTTCTAGTTCTTGTTCTTGTTTATTTCCTCTTATCTCCATGGGGAAGTGGAACAGAATTCTTCCTCCGTAAGCCATGCGTGTTGTAAGAGGCGACTAAAATACCGGGAGCAAGGGGCTAGTAACCCCTTCTGCTGTATATATTACTAAATGTAAAAGGAGAAACTTTTGTTTTTCCTTTTGGGCCACCCCGCCTCGGTGGGATACGGCCGGTGTGTTGAAAGAAAGAAAGATTTATGTAACCCAAGTCGAACCATTGTAGCTTAAAATAAAGAAAACCTGTACCATAGTTGTAGTTATGGGAAACCAGAAACTAACTAAGCAATATCTGAGGAACTTTTTTAACATGGTGATTGTCTCCCATCGAGGCAAGGCAACCCAAAAAAGAAACACCTCACCATCATTCACACTATCACTGTTTTGCCAAAGATTTGCAGACATGACAATTCAGATGTCCCTCCAAATGGCAAATATCCCTAACCCTTCCTTTATAATGCAGGTACTTCCCAACTCAAAGACTCAAGTCCTGCAAAGCGGTTTCCCTGAACCCGTTCACTAAATGATACCTTGCTCACACTCCAACAGCTCATCAGGTCCCAAAAACCATTTGCCTCCCCACACTACTATCTAACACGCTCAAACACGACTGCAGGATGTTTTAATATTTTTATGCATCCATCAGCAGCATTTATGCATAAACTATACTCTGAAACCCAATAGAAAACACTTAATAGTTTTGCTACGAGTGTTTATGACACTTTCAACTATTTCCCATCAAGGCAGAGAATCTCATAGTCACAGTCACTCATTACTTAGCTGTCTTGCCAAAAATAAACATATAATAACAATTTGGTCATGCCAGTTTTTCATATATGTACCTACAGGAGAATATTTCAAGTTACTAAATTAAAAACTGTTAACAAAATCTTATTATCTCTTAATGTAGTGAGACACACTGATTACCGTGTCTGACGCAATTACACACAACACTTTTGTTTACTTTTGTACTGTTCGTATTGTTTGTGCTATTGGAATGATGCTTTTTATATAAAATTAAACTATGAAACTGTATTAAAAGTAGTTAAATGCTCTCTGGACTCCGAGGAGAAAAAATGCAGAAAATGCAAAACAACCACAGGGGCTGTGGCTGTTTACATACTGTATATGCAAGAGCCCATACAACAATCAGGTAATGGCCAAAATACAATAATACAATTACCAAGTGTTTCCAAATGCTGTACAGTACTGCACTCTACAAATAACCCGCATACAGAAGAATGAAACTTGTGGTGACGTTTAGGTCCGACTTGGAACACTAACTAGTCACCAGTAAACACAGTACTCAACTGTGTATACATTAAAAAAAAAATAGATACAATAAGTAATGAAACTCTGTTCTGAAGTTCTGGAAAACTGTTTAAAACCTACTTGTGCTGCACCAGGTTCTGAACTGGTGTTGATCCCCGGAAGAGTGTCCGCTGGCCTCCCCGTTGACCGAGTCAGGCCCTCCATCACCACCGCCGCCACCATCGCTGTTCTGGCCACACACTGACATGTGCTGGGGCCAATGTGATTGCTACCAGGGAAAGAGTAAATGCACATATTTATGACTTGAAACATCACAATGCAAATCTCTGATGATTAATGACTCGAGACATGATTATAAACAACTCACTGAATGGAGTGGGGGTTCAAAACCATGGCAAGCTGATTCTAAAACTAGCAGGCCGGTGTGTTAAACACTGCACCATACTGGCCTAATAACTACCACTGTGTGCTTTTATATATACCAGGAAAGTTAGCATGGGTCCCATTGTGACCACAAATGCATGTTTGTGGTCAGTGGTGGTAATTGGAATGCATAGGAAGAATGGCATGAGGCCACCATAGCACAGTGGATAATACATTGGTCTGCTGGTTTTAGGACTGGCTAGCATGTTTATCAACAAAACTGATGATCAACCTTTAATTTTACGCAATGTACTATTTGCTGATTTTAAGCATTTAACCCTTTAACTGTCCAAACGTAGATCTACGTTCACTTGCGTAGAACTCCGAACATAGATCTACATTTTTTACAAGCTTTCTTATGGAGAAAATCAAGGTCGGAGCACTACACGTGAAAACGTAGATCAACGTTTGGACAGTTTAAGGCTTAAGAAAACAGATATAAACCCATTAACCTAAAAAACAAAAAATTTCTTTTTTTTTTTCCCCCATAAATAAAAGAGGAGACTTTGGAAAAACCCTACATTCAAAATTATAAAAGGAAATAAAAAAAACCAAATGGGAAAAGAAATACTTTCCAAACCCCCTTTTAAAAACTGGAATAAAAAAGAGCTCTCCAACTAAAAAGGGAAATAGCTGTAGTCTGGGTTTTGTATGCCTTTATTTGGTTCCCCTCGGGAGGCTTGCCTTCCCTGAAAAAAAAAGGGCTAGGGGGAGCGGGGGGATTCATAAACCCAAATTACCAACAACAAAACAGGTAGGGGCAGGACCCCCCCTTTTACAGTGCTTTCCCTCTACACTTATCACTGATCCAGCGGGGTTTTTTAAATTATACCATTCAAACCATTTATTCAGACTTCCTAAATAAATATATTAAACCACTCACTAAAAAGCTAAGGACAAAAATTTTTTTTGGGGAAAAATGGGTGGTGTATTTATATGATTTTTTAAGTCAAACCCTCTATTCTTAAACTTAATAAAAGTAGTTTTTAAACATGCTATCAGGCTTTTATATACATTAAAAATTAAAAAAAAAGAAAAAGAAGAAGAAACTATGTTTCATTTAACAGCAGTATCCTGGAACCAAACCCTGCTGTAAAGCGGGGCCCCTCCTTATACTAACCATACCACCTTTATGAGTTTAAACCTACCATTTACTTAAAGAGAAAAAAAACCACAACACTAGAAATTCTCCCAGATTGCGAAACATTAAAAACGGGAAAATAGTACAGTATTACATCTCTGGACATTTTTTCCCCCTGTCTACCAGCCCAATTGCGCATGGTATAACATGGTTGTTTTTGATAGGGAACTTGGCTAGAGCCCTCACACTTATGCGGTGTGGGGGAAACATCTGAAAAATTTTTCATCTGTGGTTACAGTGGGGGGCATGGGTAACTATGGGGTATAGAAATTTTTTTTTTTTTTTGTCCGGCCCTTACCAGGCGGGGGACCCAAAAAAAAGGCCCCCAAAAGGAAAAAACCTCATACCATTTACCCCTCCCAAACCTGTTTTTCAATTCAAAAAAACCGTTCAGTTTTTCCCCCGTTTTCCCCAATAAAAGCAAGAATTTTTGGGAAATCCCTTTAAAAAAACCTTCCCCCAAACCCCCAAAAATTATTAAAAAAAAAATTTAATTCTTGGGGGTTTCTCCCCAAAACCCCTTTCCCGCAATGGTTCCCAAAGGCAAAAATTTTTTTTTTAAATTAAATAAATTTGGAAAATTTTTTTTTCCAAAAAAAATTTTAAAAAATTTAAACAAATTTTCCAAAACCCTTTGTTTTTGGGAAACCTGTTGAATAAAGAAATATTCTATAAAAACACACAAATCAGGGAGAAATTTGAGAAAGAATGAATCAATTTTTTTTTAAAATACTGGCAGTCCCCCCACCAAGGGAGGGTGACCCCCAAAACCGAAACACTTTCACTATTTTTCCCCTCTATCACTGGCTTTCCAGGGGGGGCAAGCAGATACTACAGTTTAATGTTTCCCTTTCCCAAAATGCAAAAAAACCCCACCCCTTCCCTTTAAAAGGCAGGCCCTTTTTACTTCTTTCTTTCCCGGACTCAAGTCCCCTAACCATTTCCCCGAAATTCCCCTTTACAAAAAGTTACCATGCCACACCCCAACAAACTCAATTTCATCCCAAACAACACGCCTCCACTCATTCCTTCTAACACACCCCACAGGGATTTTTTTTTAAAAAAAAAATTTTCCCCCCGCCCCGTCTCCAAAATCAAATTAATGTCGAATAAAATTTTCAAAAAAAAAGAAGTTTCCCAACCTTACCTGACAAGGAAAAATCAAAAATAAGAAGTGTTCCACAACAAAAAACCAAAGCTTCCTTTCCCCAAATTGGCACACCACTGTTTTTTTTGGTTTTTCCAACAGCTCTTTGTTTTTCTGCTTCCATTTGTCTCCGTACTTCTGCCAGTCGCTCCACCATCTGCCTTCCATTTGTCTTCGCCCCTCCATCATTTGCTGCTCCATTTGCCTTTTCACTTCCTCTATCAGCTCGCTGCTTTTCTGCTTCCAAATTAGCTCTCATTTCCACAAGCATTACATCAGCATTATGCCTAACCTCGCAAGTTTCTTGCTGATGCCTCCAATTCGTGCGCTCCAATTCTAGCTGAAGTGCAGCTACCCGAGCCTCAGGGTCCCCGTCATCACAAGACCACCTAGAACATCCTCGAGTGTGGCACGCATGACCTCTGCTAGCTTTTGGGAGTGCTTATGAAGTTGAGCAGAAAGTGGACCAGCTTCTGGAGGTAGATGTCTAGTAGGCGGACCGCCTGGTATACGTGACGGCACCATCATGCCAGGTCCTCCTCCACCATCATTCTCATACCAGGAGTAGCCATGATAGGCCCACGAGCACCACCCATTCCCAGAACTTGGCTGCCTGGGGAGGAGGACCAAATACACCTCTGAGCCTACACCACCTGCTGCAGAAGCCTGAGGGTGAGAAAGAGGTGGTGGAGGGGGAATGCCACTGCCACTAGTTTGAGGAGAACTACTTGATGATGAAGAAGAAACTCTTGGAGGTACACCCTGTGTGGTTGATGGTGAACTCTGAGGAGGATTTTGTACCAAGACTGACGGAGAACTCCTTGGAGCATGCTGTGCAGAGACTGACGGTGATGTGCGACTAGGGCTTGTGATGCTGATGGAGCAATGGTGGTTTTAGTTCGCTGGCGGTCACTTCCTCCCGACATTGGAATGATGGAAATTGATGGGCTGAGCGTGTAGTATTCAACTCCAGATGGCATTTTCACTTTTTCTTTTTCCTTTTCTTTATCTTTATCCTTTTCTACTGCTTTTGTTACACTTACACTACATCCTAAGGAAGATATATTTGCTCCATGTCTCTACTTTCTGATAATTTCTGAACTGGAGATGCTACACGTGAACTAGGGCTAGTCCGGTTTGCCTGTTCATTTTCAGACCTCCTATCATCCACTTCAAATTTGGGTTGCTCTTTGGCCAACGATATAGTTACCCCATTGTTACTGTTCCCCCGTTCAAGATTTTTCCCCATCCAGTCTCGTTATTGCTATCGTTCCCATCGTTTTCATTAATTGAACAGCATCAAAGAGAGAGTTTTTTGCTACTGTCCTTATCTTCCTGATTACTGTCTTCACTATCTCTCTCCATCTTTTTTTCCCTATTTCCTCACTACTCACAATTTCCTCTTTAAACCCTGTCCTTTACACTGTGGTGGGTTCTATTGGTTCAGTTCCTCACCTTACTATCTACATCAATTTGTTCATCACTACTTCTACTTTTTTTCACAATTTTTGTGTCATCTTCATCTTCCTCTACATCGGGTACACTATCTCCCACCATTTTACTGTCCTGGCCAGAAACTACTTCTGCTATTTTCACTATCATTTTCACAAGTTTCCCTCACTTCTTGCCAAAATGCCTCTTTTCAGTGTCACTTTCCTCATCTTCACTCTCGGGTTCTATTCTGAAGTCCTCTGGTTTCTTTATCATCCTCATCTGCACTCTTGTCACTATCATCACTTTCATCTAACCCTATTTCTTTTCTCTGAACTTATTTTCACTCTCACTCTCACTTTGTCAGACTCACTGTCACTTTCCATTTTCCAAGAAAGTTCTTTTGTTTTTCGTCTCATCTTCATTTTCACTATCCTCACTTTTACTTAATTCTTTTTTTACACTCTTTTTCTAAATTTTCAAGAACATCAACTTGTGATATTGTTGAATTCAGTTTTTAAACCCCCACCATTACTAGTATCATCTTCCTCTTTACAGCTGTTCTTTATTATCACTTTCAAATAACCGAGCATTTTCTCTAATTCCCTCATTTTCGCTTTCCACCGTCACATCACATCCTCCTTAAGTTTCTGATCTCGGGTTTGCATCTATTCTTCCAACATTAGTTTTTCACTTTCAGCCATCTCACTATCCGAGTCATCATTCACTTGTCTTTCTCTGCTCCTGGGCAATTCAGAGTCATTTTCAAATGGCTTTATGTCTGGTAAATTTAAAATGTCCTCATTTCTGGGCCAAACTTTTGAGGCAACATTTTCAGGAGCTTTGATTTCCTTTTCCAAATCTTGCTTTTCACTTTTCACTTTCTTCGAGGTCGTTTTAATGTCACACAGAGTTTCTCCATCACTCTTCAGAGTTCCATCTTTGTCTTGCACCTCTTCTCCTGTATTTAGAGCAAGATTACCGATCTCCTCTTCCTGCTCTTCTGCATTATCAATTTTTTCTTCCCTTTCACCATCCTTTTCACAATCCTCGTCTTCACTTGCATCTTTACTCTCCATTTCGTCTACACTTCCGTCTTTTAAATTATCCACTAAAAACCTTTTCCTGTTACTTGGATATTCATCAGTGTAATTTTCCTCATCTTCCTCCTCGTCCTCCTCATCGTCTTCACTTTGGTCATTTATTGTTCGAGGATGCAAAGTCTTTCCATTGACAATGGACGAATCATCCTCCTCATCAAAATTTTCGTCATCTTCGTAGTTCCCACCGGGGTACTTGTCACAGTTTTCCATTTCCTCATCAGAGTCGTCATCACCGGTTTTGGAAGAAAATTTCACATTTATTTTTGAATCCTCCTCCTCCTCCTCCTCATCACCCTCTAAATCCTTCTGTCTTTCATCCTTTACCTCTCTCTTAATGTGTTCTTGTGAAAGTGTAAAACGTTCTTCGTCACCTAACCTCGTCATGTTATGGTGATCACCATGAACGGGATCACTATTTGGAATTTCCACTTCAGTTTCCGTTCCTTGAGTCGCAGACGATGTACCAGATTCCCTCTTACGCCTTCTGACTGACGCCCCGCTATCAGTCGACCCTATAGATGACGTCTCATCATCTGGAAATATGACAGAATGTTAATTTACAGATATACAGATATACAAATCAGCAACCACCCAAGGAGGTACATGTACTGCCGTCCTGCCTAGTGAGTGTGAAAAAGAAACCAGTAACTGTTTTACATGCTGGTAGGATTGATGGTGTTCTTTTTTCTGTCTCAAAACCACAATGGATAACAGGTGCATACACTATATACATACACACATCTAGGTTTATCTTCTTTTTTCTTAATAGTTCTTGTTCTTCTTTATTTTCTCTATTCTCCATGGGGAAGTGGAAAAGAATCTTTCCTCCATAAGCCATGCGTGTCATATGAGGCAATTAAAATGTCGGGAGCAATGGGCTAGTAACCCCTTCTCCTGTAGAAAATACTTAAAAAGAGAAGAAAAACTTTATAAAACTGGGATGCTTGAATGTGCATGAATGATAAGAAAAAGATGATTGCTAATGTTATGAATGAAAAGAAGTTGGATGTCCTAGTCCTAAGCAAAACAAAGCTGAAGGGGATAGGTGAGTTTCAGTGGGGAGAAATAAATAGTCAGGAGTATCTGAGAGAGTTAGAGCTAAGGAAGGGGTAGCAGTAGTGTTGACAGATCAGTTATGGATGGAGAAGAGGGAATATGTATGTATAAATTCAAGGATTATGTAGATTAAAATAAGGGTTGGATGCAAAAAGTGGGTCATAATAAGTGTGTATGCACCTGGAGAAGAGATGAGTCTAGAGGAGACAGAGAGATTTTGGGAGATGTTTGAACTTTTGAACTAAGTGAGAGAGTAACTGTGATAGGGGACTTAAATGCTACAATAGGAGAAATATATAAAGAGGGTGTGGTAGGTAAGTTTGGGGTGCCAGGTGTAAATGATAATGGGAGCCCTTTGACTGAACTTTACATAAAAAGGGGTTTGGGTTATAGGAAAACATTTTTTTAAAAAAAAAAAGAGGATATCAAGAAAGATCAGGGCATAATGACAGTATTTGTTGGGACATTATTGACAGATAAAAGACTGTTGGTAGACTTAAAGATGTCACATTTTATAGAGGGGCAACAATATACAATCACTTTTAGTTGTATCTAAGTGAGGTAAAAGGTCAGGGATAAAAGGAAAAAAATGGAACACAGGTAAAGAGGTTTAAAGATTTAAAAGCTAAAGGAGGAGGCTGTTAGGGAAATATATAAACAATTTTGGAGGATAGATGGGCTAGTAAAAGTATGGGAAAATGGGGTTAAAGATGAGGGGGTGGTTTTAAGAATGTAGTGTTACACAAATAACCCGCACAAAAGAGAGGAGCAAAGATGGAGTTAGAAAACTTTTCGACGGCGGCGGGGGCACACCCAATAAAAAATACAAAGAAAGGGGAGCACTGAAAGGAGCTAGGCCCCCCCGGGGAGACATGTGCACAAGGGGGGGGAAGGGGAAGTGATAAAAAATAATAAAGGAACAAAAAACACCGACAAAAGAAAGGAAGACAAAAAAGGAAAGGGGAAAGAGGGGAAGAAGAAAAAAAGAGGAATCAGGTTAATCACGGGGTTTCTGAAGTTTGGAACTTTTTACATTGTAGTGGGAGGGGAAAGGGCCTAAAAGACGAAGCCAGGACAAAAGTTTTATCAAGGAAAGTTTGTATTAAAAGGGGTTTCAATAAGCGACGTTAGGTTTAAAAAGTGGGGGAAGACAGTTTTGCGGAAGACCAGTCAATAGGATGGCTGTATCTCGACGTGACAAAATAGCCTGTTAGTGTCACAAGCCTAACCATTTTGTGCTCCCTAGTCGTCAAAAAGATCGCCATTTTCCCCAAAAATAGAAGAGGACAGGAAAGAAAGAAATAGTGTAGACCCAGGAACTCTGTAAGGGAGGAGGGGTATGACAAGATTAGTCGAAGAGTGTTAGTCTGGCAGAAAGTAAGTTCGATGTCAAAGGGACGGAGAGAATTGTTGAGATTAGAAAAAAAGGGAAAAATGTAGGGAAGGAGAGGACAAAAGATTCCAGGAGTAGAGGTTTTGGGAAGAAAAAAATTTAAATTTTAGCACGGAAAAGGGCAAGTCTTGAAATGGGAAGGTAGCCCAAGATGGGAAAAACAAATTTGTGAGGGGAAATTTCTGCTGGAAGGAACTGAGGATCACAGATGTGGGGGGCACGGAGAAAGAGGGAGATAAAACATTTTTCCTTTACAGGGGAAGCATGATGGAAAAGTGTGAAGGGAATGACACGTGCATAGGTTTTTTTCGGTAAACGGAAAAAAAAAAAAATGTATCTGGCGGTGGACATGGACATAAAGGGAAAAGGAACAAGGTTAGTTTCCCCATTCAGTTTTAAATTAAGGGAAAGGGGCAAGATTTTTAAGAGTTTCAAAAAAAGGTTTGGGAAAAGCTGGAGTCATGAGGCCACAGAGCAAAGATGTCATCCACATGGGGACCCAGAGTGAAGGTTGCACATCGATGGGGGAAGAGCATCTCAAAAGTTTTCCATGAAAGATTTAGAAGGACAGGAGGAGAGGAGAGCCCATGGGCGAAGTTTGTGGTGTAAAGCAGATGGGTCATAAAAATGGGGTAAATCAAAATTGAAAAGGGAAAAAAAAGGTGAGTGGTGCCTAAAGTCTGTGGAGCCAAGAATCTGTTAGAAGCAAAGAGGGGAATTTTATGAGTGTACATTATCCAATGCTTTTATGGGTGTGAAGCATGGGTGATGAATGTTGAAAGCAGGAGAAGGCGGAGGCGTGGAGAGCATGTCTGAGAGCAATATGGGGTGTGAATGTAATCAAAAATTCTAGTTGGGAAATTAGGAGGAGGTGGGGGTTTTTCCAAACTATAAGTAGAGAGCGATGAGGGTTTTTGGGGATGGCTTGGACTGTACAGAGGGTAGAAAAAAATAGAATGGCTTCAAATGTATAAATTGTGTGGGGGCAAGGCAGGGTAGACATCGGCCTGGGAAATTTGGAGGGGGGAGGTAAAGGGGGTTTTTGTGTGCAAGGGCTTGGACTCCAGCAAGCAGCGTGAGCATTTTAGATGGGCCGAATAGAGACAAATGATTTTTAAACTTGGCATATGGTATATGGATAAATATACATTATATTTAGAAACACCCTTAAATTTTACAATAATACAATAAATATATATATATGACTTCTGTAAACAATCCAAAATAAATTTGGGGGGGGCGAAAAACAAATCTGATAAATATTTGATGTGAAAATAAAAACTAAGAAATAGGAAGATAACATTTATGTATATAGATACAACTCCCTCATCATGACGTAGTTTACCGATGCCTTGGACTTAAAATGGGCTCTCGACCAATTTTACTAAATATGTTTTAGAGTGATTCCTCTATTCTGTTTATTTCAATATACAGTACACTACTGTATAAACATTTAAAAAAAATAACAGAAAAGTTATAAAATGTAAAGGTGACATTAAAAATTTAAAAATGGTTTACACAAAACCCCTACCATTATAAAAAAGTTTCCCCCTTAGCGACGAATTCGTTTTCTGACGTGGTCTTAAACAAAATCCCGTAAGTGAGGGGGGGCTGTACTTTAAAAAAACCCTATTAACAGCAACAAATTAGTATATTACTCTAAAAATTTTTGAAAACCGATTACCCTTTTATGAATTTTGAGATTAATTACTCTCTGAGCCCGGGCCTTTTGGGCCCGCTCGTCTGGTCAACCCGGCTTTTCTGCTGGAGGCCCGCTGCCCCCCCATATCCATTACAGCCTGGTTGATCTAGCATGGGAAGATACTTTCTAGTTTCCTCTTTTAAGGCTTCAACACTTTTTTCCCGCAGTGTTTGATATTTTGGTAAGATGTTGAAAAGCCTAGGACCCCCAAAGTTGATACAGTGTTCCCCTTATTTTCCCCACCGCACCCCTGCTCCCCACTGGGGGTTTATCTTTCACTTCCTCCCATCTCTCCACTCCTATTTTTATGGGAGTGGCAGATTTGGACCAAGCCCTCGAACCTTCCTCCCCTCTCTCTCACTCCAGTTGTTTTTATGGCAGTGGCAGATTTGGGACCAAGCCCCCGAGTACCTTTCAGGAAAAATTTTTCATGTACCTTCTCTCCCCCCCGCTCCCAAAGAGTAATTTCAAGACTTGCAGGCATTCCCCCGTATTTACGTGCTTTACTGGCTCAATGTGAGCCCCAAACGATCTCTGTATTTGTTCCCGCTCCGTTTTCTCTGCCCTGAAAGGGGCCATCAGCACTGAAAGGGAATATCTAATAGGGGACACTACGATTTGAAAAGTGTCACCATCGGGATCGTTTCCCTTGTTTTTAAAGTTCTCAATACCCACCCAGTCACTTCCGGGTGTCGTGACTTTTTCTTGCATGGTCTTTAAAAAAAGGGCCGCTGACATAATTATTCCTAGGCTTTTACGTGTTTTCCTTTTTCATTTGGTGACCCTCTTGAGTTTTTATTAGTGCTCCTTTTGAGTTCTTTTCTTTCCCTACCTAAGCAGCTGGAATTATCACCATTGAACCATGTTTTTTCCCCGTCCCTGGAAAACCCTGTTTATTCTTCCTGTACTTTTTCAGTGTCCTCTACCGTACTGACTTTCTGCTTATTTTAGTGTCATCTGTAAATGATGTACAAAAATGTGCCGGATGTTTTTTTTCTAGTCTGCTAGGGAGAGGAACAGCAGAGGGGCCAGGACTGGCCTTGGGCAAGAGCTTTTGACCCCCGGAAGCTGGGCTTGCCCTGTTCACTACTACTTTTTGTGTTCTGTGTTAGAAAAAAGAAAAAACCCTCGCCTACCTTTCCCGTAATGCCCTGGCCTTCATTTTGTCGCTACCTTTTCCCTGATCGCATTGTCAAAAGCCTTTTCAAAATTGTGAAAAACATCGCGTTTTGGACATCTTCCATGCCCCTGTAATTCTGTCATAATGGTTCAGCACTTTGGGGCAGACATGATGTCCTGCCTAAAACATGCTGGTTCATGTTATTTTTGGTTTGCTTCCTGAAATTTGTAAACCTGCCGCTCTCACTCTTTCGAAGATTTTTATGTGTGAGAGGTTGGGCTACTGATCTGTAATTTTTAGCTAGGCTCTACCCCCTCCCCTTGTGCAAAGGACAAGTCTGCACTCTTTTAAAAGGGCCCCCATATTTCCCTAGATTAAAATCTTTCCCCAAAGAAAAGAGGGCTCGGCTAGTGGTACTTTGCACTTTTTTATAAATAAGCATTCCATGAACTGGCCAGGTGCTGAGTGAGGGGGATGTTTCCATTTCTTTTTTGAAATCTATGGGGGTTTGTTTACGGTCATTAGTTGGTCTGTGCGGCTTCTTCTGGAGTAAAAAAATTTTTGCATTTTCTACCTTTGTGCATTTGTGGGGTTGCTGAACACCCACTCATCGTTTTTTAAAGGATTTTTACTCATTTCCTGTTCATCGTCAGTATGTGGTCTCCTCTCATATGGTCCAATTTTTCAGGGATTCTTAGCTTGGTTTTTGGTAGGGTAGAAATATTTTGGGTTTCTTGCAAAATCCGTAAGGCCCTTTGTTTCTTTGTACTTCTTCTGTGAGTATGACATCCCAGTTTTTTCTCTAATTCATGTCTTCTGCTAAGTCTATCTTTCCTTGTTGTAGCTATTTGGTTTTTAGCAGTTCATAACCCGTTTTTTTTTTCTTCTTTTCCTCTCCTACGCTCTCTCTCATATTGATCTTCCTCTGGGTTTCCTCAATGGTACATGTTTCATACATACTTTGTATGCTTCTGTATTCAGCTTCTCTAGGCACTGGTGTGGATTTAGGTCGCTCATGTCTGATTCCCAGGGTGTGTCTGATAGCTCTTGGTTTATTTTTTCCCAGTTAATTCTATGGTTGTTAAAATTAAACTTACTGAACATCCCATCTCTAACTTTAAAAATTTTGAATAAATGCACAAATGGAAGGAGAAATTAGTGGATGAATGGATAAATTACCTAATTAATAAAAATTCTGCACTCCCACTTACCAATTACCTACGAGATTATATACTCTTATTCACAAGAGAATAGAGAAACTCAAGCATCTAAGGTGTGCATAATAAAAATATTAACCTAACTAAACTACAGGAGGGCTCCCCGCTTTACAGCACCGCACTTCATGGCGTTTCGCTAATGTAGCGGTTTTCAATTACACCCATTTTTCATTTATTAAGACTTCCTACAATAAATATGTATTAACCACTCACTATAAGCTAAGAACAAAAATATTTTAAAGGAAGTAATTTGTATACTGTATTTGCACTTTTTTTAGGCCTAGCTCTATTGCTCATTCAATATATGACAGTGTATACAGTCGACCCCCGCATAACGATTACCTCCGAATGTGACCAATTATGTAAGTGTATTTATGTAAGTGCGTTTGTACGTGTATGTTTGGGGGTCTGAAATGGACTAATCTACTTCACAATATTTCTTATGGGAACAAATTCGGTCAGTACTGGCACCTGAACATACTTCTGGAGTGAAAAAATATCATTAACCGGGGGTCCACTGTATATGTTGTCAGGGTTTTATATGCATCTGCAAGTGAAAAAAGACTGTGCGTCACTTTACAATGATTTTCACTTTACAGCAGCAGCCCGGAATCTAACCTGCTGTATAAGCTGGGTCCTACAGTAGCCCAAGACTTAACCTGTTGTATAAGTGAGGCTCTACAGTAACCCAGAGCTTAACCTGCTGTATAAGTGAGGCCCTACAGTAACCCAGAGCTTAACCTGCTGTATAAGCTGGGTCCTACAGTAGCCCAAGACCTAACCTGTTGTATAAGTGAGGCTCTACAGTAACCCAGAGCTTAACATGCTGTATAAGTGAGGCCCTACAGTAACCCAGAGCTTAACCTGCTGTATAAGTGAGGCTCTACAGTAACCCAGAGCTTAACCTGCTGTATAAGTGAGGCTCTACAGTAACCCAGAGCTTAACCTGCTGTATAAGTGAGGCTCTACAGTAACCCAGAGCTTAACCTGTTGTATAAGTGAGGCTCTACAGTAACCCAGAGCTTAACCTGCTGTATAAGCTGGGTCCTACAGTAGCCCAAGACCTAACCTGTTGTATAAGTGAGGCTCTACAGTAACCCAGAGCTTAACCTGCTGTATAAGTGAGGCTCTACAGTAACCCAGAGCTTAACCTGTTGTATAAGTCAGGCTCTACAGTAACCCAGAGCTTAACCTGTTGTATAAGTCAGGCTCTACAGTAACCCAGAGCTTAACCTGTTGTATAAGTGAGGCTCTACAGTAACCCAGAGCTTAACCTGCTGTATAAGCTGGGTCCTACAGTAGCCCAAGACCTAACCTGTTGTATAAGTGAGGCTCTACAGTAACCCAGAGCTTAACCTGCTGTATAAGTGAGGCTCTACAGTAACCCAGAGCTTAACCTGTTGTATAAGTCAGGCTCTACAGTAACCCAGAGCTTAACCTGTTGTATAAGTCAGGCTCTACAGTAACCCAGAGCTTAACCTGTTGTATAAGTGAGGCTCTACAGTAACCCAGAACTTAACCTGCTGTATAAGCTGGGTCCTACAGTAGCCCAAGACCTAACCTGTTGTATAAGTGAGGCTCTACAGTAACCCAGAGCTTAACCTGCTGTATAAGTGAGGCTCTACAGTAACCCAGAGCTTAACCTGTTGTATAAGTCAGGCTCTACAGTAACCCAGAGCTTAACCTGTTGTATAAGTCAGGCTCTACAGTAACCCAGAGCTTAACCTGTTGTATAAGTGAGGCTCTACAGTAACCCAGAGCTTAACCTGCTGTATAAGCTGGGTCCTACAGTAGCCCAAGACCTAACCTGTTGTATAAGTGAGGCTCTACAGTAACCCAGAGCTTAACCTGCTGTATAAGTGAGGCTCTACAGTAACCCAGAGCTTAACCTGTTGTATAAGTCAGGCTCTACAGTAACCCAGAGCTTAACCTGTTGTATAAGTCAGGCTCTACAGTAACCCAGAGCTTAACCTGTTGTATAAGTGAGGCTCTACAGTAACCCAGAGCTTAACCTGCTGTATAAGCTGGGTCCTACAGTAGCCCAAGACCTAACCTGTTGTATAAGTGAGGCTCTACAGTAACCCAGAGCTTAACCTGCTGTATAAGTGAGGCTCTACAGTAACCCAGAGCTTAACCTGTTGTATAAGTCAGGCTCTACAGTAACCCAGAGCTTAACCTGTTGTATAAGTCAGGCTCTACAGTAACCCAGAGCATAACCTGTTGTATAAGTGAGGCTCTACAGTAAACCCAGAGCTTAACCTGTTGTATAAGTGAGGCTCTACAGTAACCCAGAGCTTAACCTGTTGTATAAGTGAGGCTCTACAGTAACCCAGAGCTTAACCTGTTGTATAAGTGAGGCTCTACAGTAACCCAGAGCTTAACCTGTTGTATAAGTGAGGCTCTACAGTAACCCAGAGCTTAACCTGCTGTATAAGTGAGGCTCTACAGTAACCCAGAGCTTAACCTGCTGTATAAGTGAGGCTCTACAGTAACCCAGAGCTTAACCTGCTGTATAAGTGAGGCTCTACAGTAACCCAGAGCTTAACCTGCTGTATAAGTGAGGCCCTACAGTAAGCTAACCTGCTGTATAGGCAGGGCCAACCTGTAATGTTTAGTAAAAGTTTGTAACTGTAATATGCTCTACAAAAATGAGAGAAAACTTATCACTTCCACTCATATTCTGCATATTTCTATGTTCCATTTTAGTTCCAAGGAATAATACAAAGTTTTCATTTTCAATTTTTTTTTTAACATACCAGCCTTGTCCCACCAAGGTAGGGTGATCTAAGAAGAAAAACGAAAGTTTTTATTTTTTAATTTATCAATTTATACAGAAGAGGTTACTAGCCCCTTGCTCCTGGCATTTTAGTCACTAATCCAAACTGCTTGAAAGTAAGACTAATTATGAATACCTGAGTGGCCGGATAACCTGGAGAGAGCCCTGGACTGAGATCGAACTCTAAGGGCCATTGGTCCTTTATAATTAGGAAGCATGATCTTGATTTGGTCAGGATCGGCCGGGTTGAACTGAACGCGATGAGGGGCATACTTGAACCTTCCAAATCTTTCCCTCAGTTTAACTATGTGCTCATTTACCTGCAAATGTCAATATTATTATGACATTAAAGTGACTATTCTACTGTATAAACTAAAACCTACAAATCTAAGTTATATATAGAATAATACACATATTAACAATAAAAAATCACAATACCGTGACTGTGACAATGCACAAATAACCCGCACTTAAGAAGGAAGAAAGGCAATAGGCCTACTGGCTCATCTTAGGCACGTTCAAGTCACATCCAGTTAAGAAGGTAGGAGCACTGCTGCAGGCCTACTGATCCAACTATTACCAATAAACCTTAATCTGTCCAAACACAGATCTACGTTAACATGCTCCAAAAGTAGATCTAATTTTTTTTCATATTTTCAAACAAAAAAAAAAATATAGATAAAAGTTGTTTTAAATGTCTGAATGTGCGTGGATGTTGTGCAAATGATAAGAAAGAGATGATTGTGGATGTTATGAATGAGAAGAAGCTGGATGTCCTGGCTTTAAGTGAAACAAAGCTGAAGGGGGTGGGAGAGTTTCAATGGAGAGGAATAAATGGGATTAGGTCAGGGGTTTCAAATAGAGTTAGAGCTAAAGAAGGAGTAGCAATAATGTTGAAGGATAAGCTATGGCAGGAAAAGACGGACTATAAATGTATTAATTCAAGGATTATGTGGAGTAAAATAAAGATTGGATGTGAAAAGTGGGTTATAGTAAGCGTGTATGCACCTGGAGAAGAGAGAAGTGTAGAGGAGAGAGAGAGATTTGGGAAATGTTGAGTGAATGCGTGGGGAGTTTTGAATCAAGTGTGAGAGTAATGGTGGTTGGGGATTTCAATGCTAAAGTGGGTAAAAATGTTATGGAGGGGGTAGTAGGTAAATTTGGGGTGCCAGGGGTAAATGTAAATGGGGAGCCTTTAATTGAGCTATGTGTAGAAAGAAATTTAGTAATAAGTAATACATATTTTATGAAAAAGAGGATAAATAAATATACAACGTATGATGTAGCACGTAATGAAAGTAGTTTATTAGATTATGTATTGGTGGATAAAAGGTTGATGGGTAGGCTCCAGGATGTACATGTTTATAGAGGGGCAACTGATATATCGGATCATTATTTAGTTGTGGCTACAGTTAGAGTAAGAGGTAGATGGGAAAAGAGGAAGGTGGCAACAACAAGTAAGAGGGAGGTGAAAGTGTATAAACTAAGGGAGGAGGAAGTTCGGGTGAGAGCAGAGTATATGGAGAGTAAAAGAAAGGTGAAGAGAATGGTGAGAGTGCAAAAGGAGAGCAGATGATAGAGTGGGAGAGGCACTGTCAAGAAATTTTAATGAAAATAAGAAAAAATTATGGAGTGAGTTAAACAAGTTAAGAAAGCCTAGGGAAAGTACGGATTTGTCAGTTAAAAACAGAGTAGGGGAGTTAGTAGACGGGGAGGGGGAGGTATTAGGTAGATGGCGAGAATATTTTGAGGAACTTTTAAATGTTAAGGAAGAAAGAGAGGCAGTAATTTCATGCACTGGTCAGGGAGGTATACCATCTTTTAGGAGTGAAGAAGAGCAGAATGTAAGTGTAGGGGAGGTACGTGAGGCATTACGTAAAATGAATGGGGGTAAAGCAGCTGGAACTGATGGGATCATGACAGAAATGTTAAAAGCAGGGGGGGATATAGTGTTGGAGTGTTTTTTTTTTTTTTTTTTCAACAAGTCGGCCGTCTCCCACCGAGGCAGGGTGACCCAAAAAAGAAAGAAAATCCCCAAAAAGAAAATACTTTCATCATCCTTCAACACTTTCACTACACTCGCACATTATCACTGTTTTTGCAGAGGTGCTCAGAAATACAACAGTTTAGAAGCATACACATATAAAGATACACAACATATCCCTCCAAACTGCCAATATCCCAAACCCCTCCTTTAAAGTGCAGGCATTGTACTTCCCATTTCCAGGACTCAAGTCCGACTATATGAAAATAACCGGTTTCCCTGAATCCCTTCACTAAATATTACCCTGCTCACACTCCAACAGATCGTCAGGTCCCAAGTACCATTCGTCTCCATTCACTCCTATCTAACACGCTCACGCACGCTTGCTGTTTAATAAATGTATGAAACAGGGGAAGGTACCTAGGGATTGCCGGAGAGCATGTATAGTCCCTTTATATAAAGGGAAAGGGGACAAAAGAGACTGTAAAAATTATAGAGGAATAAGTTTACTGAGTATACCAGGAAAAAGTGTACGGTAGGGTTATAATTGAAAGAATTCGAGGTAAGACAGGATGTAGGACTGCGGATGAGCAAGGAGGTTTCAGAGTGGGTAGGGGATGTGTAGATCAAGTGTTTACATTGAAGCATATATGTGAACAGTATTTAGATAAAGGTAGGGAAGTTTTTATTGCATTTATGGATTTAGAAAAGGCATATGATAGAGTGGATAGAGGAGCAATGTGGCAGATGTTGCAAGTATATGGAATAGGTGTTAAGTTATTAAATGCTGTAAAGAGTTTTTATGAGGATAGTGAGGCTCAGGTTAGGGTGTGTAGAAGAGAGGGAGACTACTTCCCAGTAAAAGTAGGTCTTAGACAGGGATGTGTAATGTCACCATGGTTGTTTAATATATTTATAGATGGGGTTGTAAAGGAAGTAAATGCTAGGGTGTTCTGGAGAGGGGTGGGATTAAATTTTGGGGAATCAAATTCAAAATGGGAATTGACACAGTTACTTTTTGCTGATGATACTGTGCTTATAGGAGATTCTAAAGAAAAATTGCAAAGGTTAGTGGATATTTGAGAATGTGTGTAAAGGTAGAAAGTTGAAAGTGAACATAGAAAAGAGTAAGGCGATGAGGGTATCAAATGATTTAGATAAAGAAAAATTGGATATCAAATTGGGGAGGAGGAGTATGGAAGAAGTGAATGTTTTCAGATACTTGGGAGTTGACGTGTCGGCGGATGGATTTATGAAGGATGAGGTTAATCATAGAATTGATGAGGGAAAAAAGGTGAGTGGTGCGTTGAGGTATATGTGGAGTCAAAAAACGTTACCTATGGAGGCAAAGAAGGGAATGTACGAAAGTATAGTAGTACCAACACTCTTATATGGGTGTGAAGCTTGGGTGGTAAATGCAGCAGCGAGGAGACGGTTGGAGGCAGTGATGTCCTGTTTAAAGGCAATGTGTGGTGTAAATATTATGCAGAAAATTCGGAGTGTGGAAATAAAGAAAATGTGTGGAGTTAATAAAAGTATTAGTCAGAGGGCAGAAGAGGGGTTGTTGAGGTGGTTTGGTCATTTAGAGAGAAAGGATCAAAGCAGAATGACATGGAAAGCATATAAATCTATAGGGGAAGGAAGGTGGGGTAGGGGTCGTCCTCGAAAGGGTTGGAGGGGGTAAAGGAGGTTTTGTGGGCAAGGGGCTTGGACTTCCAGCAAGCGTGCGTGAGCGTGTTAGATAGGAGTGAATGGAGATGAATGGTACTTGGGACCTGACGATCTGTTGGAGTGTGAGCAGGGTAATATTTAGTGAAGGGATTCAGGGAAACCGGTTATTTTCATATAGTTGGACTCGAGTCCTGGAAATGGGAAGTACAATGACCTGCACTTTAAAGGAGGAGTTTGGGATATTGGCAGTTTGGAGGGATATGTTGTGTATCTTTATATGTGTATGCTTCTAAACTGTTGTATTCTGAGCACCTCTGCAAAAACAGTGATAATGTGTGAGTGTGGTGAAAGTGTTGAATGATGATGAAAGTATTTTCTTTTCAGGGATTTTCTTTCTTTTTTGGGTCACCCTGCCTCGGTGGGAGACGGCCGACTTGTTGAAAAATATATAATATATATATATATATATATATATATTATATATATATATATATATATATATATATATATATATATATAATATATAATATATATATATATATATAAAGAATATCTATGCTATGTTTTTTTACATACTTTCAAATGTTGAAAAAAACGTAGATCTACATTTAGACAGTTTCAGGGTTAAGGGGTTAATGGCTCAAGCTGGACCAAAACATCATCATAAGTTTGATTCTTCTATGTGCAGGCTAACTGTGTAATACACATATTAGACAGACATGTGCCACTAATAAAACATTTACTGTGACTATGTTTCTAGCCCCAGGAGTCCGTCAAGCCAATACAAACAAGACAATGAATACATATGCATGGTTTACCAAAAAATAAATGAACTGATATGGGAAAGAGGTGACACAGTTATCATTACTCAACTTGTTCCTTATTAGAACAGAGGAAGAAATGTTCAACATCAACTATTAACCCGTAAACGGTCCAGCAGATCTACGTTCACATGTGTAGTGCTACAAAAGTAGATCTACGTTTTTTTACATATTTTCAAATATAAAAAAAAAAAAAGTAGATCAAAGTTTTTTTTATACATTTTCAAATGTAGAAAAACAAAAAGAAGATCTACTTTTTTTACATACTTTCAAATGGTGAAAAAACGTATATATACGTTTGGACCGTTTACTGGTTAATCAGTAGGATAAGGAAAAAACATTGTGCGATACAAATAACAAAAATTACTGAAACTCTTTACATAATGAACTGAATGATACTTTTGGAACCATACTGTCTAATCTCCATGTTCCAAATTCTCTGCTCTTTTTTTTTTTTTTTTTTTTTTTTGCATCTTAGAGCTATCTTGCAGCTTTTTCTAGCCTTGACAGTGTATGGTGGAACCTCTGTATGTGACGTTAATTAATTCCAGAAGGCTGTTCGAGTGCCGCTCCGTCTGAGTATTGTACAAGTTCTTCCCAACCAATTTTCTGTTTGATTGGCTGTTATCGCTAATCTTCGTAGACCCCATGGTGACTTTTTTATACAAATAATACACAAAAACCACCAAAACATGCGAAGAAACATGAAATAGTTTACGGCGAAGTTCCGGCAGGTCATATTTGTTTGGCTGAGTGCTGAGCTTTGTTTGAGTAGGGAGCTGGTCGCATACCGAGCTTCCGCTGTATTTTACTTCTGAACACCAAGCCACAGGTGCGTATTACAATTTTGCCTTAACATGTCTTATAAATAGCGTTTATAGCCTTCTTCCATCCAAATATCTAATAGCTATTAAAACTCTGATAGTGAGATAAGTTCACGGAAAGAGCCAAACCTGAAAGGGTCACATGGCACTGCACAAAACAAAAGAAAATGGTATAGAATGGAAGAGGAAGAAGTGTTCAGGGAAGACCACTGCCAAGTGATGCTGATTAGAAATGATGATGCAAATTACTGTCAGTAATAAATGCATTTTTTTTTTTTAACACAAATACCGTTTCCCACCAAAGCAGGGCGACCCGAAAAAGAAACCGAATTTTTTTTTTTTTTTACGTTTAGTAATCTCTATACAGTAGGGGTTACTACCCCCTTGCTTCCGGTACTTTAGTTGCTTTTTACAACATATATGGTATATGGAGGAAAGATTCTTCTCCACTTCCCAAATAATGTTCAGTACAGTGGACCCCCGCATAACGATTACCTCCGAATGCGACCAATTATGTTAGTGTATTTATGTAAGTGCGTTTGTACGTGTATGTTTGGGGGTCTGAAATGGACTAATCTACTTCACAATATTCCTTATGGGAATAAATTCGGTCAGTACTGGCACCTGAACATACTTATGGAGTGAAAAAATATCGTTAACCGGGGGTCCACTGTATATGTATTTCTAATTTAAATGATAATTCACATAAAACCATGTGAGCGTTGCCATGCATATTATAAACAGTACCTTATAATGCATATTATGAATACAGTTCTTTTAATGCACATTACAAATACGGTACTTTATGATGCATATTACAAATACAGTACTTTATAATGCATTGATAGTTTTGAGAGGAGGAAGAATAATGCAGCAATAAACAGTTACCTCTTGAAGACATGATTCTAATGTCTTATTTCTATTTTTAAGAGGCGTTGGCATCTGTTCGGAGAAGAGGAAGCACTCTTTCATTGGAACCCACGATCTGTAAGAAGAAAACAATACTAATGCAGAAGGCTGCCATCTGGAGCTGAAACTGTTTAGTCCTGAGCTACAACTGTTTAGTCCTGAGCTACAACTGTTTAGTCCTGAGCTACAACTTGGTTATGATTTAAGCACATCAGGCCAATCAAGAAGAAAAAAAAAAAGCCTCTTTCCCTACAGCAATTCATTTGCAAACAATTATGTTAAATTACGTGATAATCAACTATTCTTTCTGAAACTTAATAAATTTCCTTAAAAACTGACAAGATACAAAGCTAAGCAACAATGTGTTTTAGGTAGTCATGTCACTTATCAATGATAAACTCACTGTGACAAATGAATTACTAAAAATACAACCATAACATTCTTTAAGGATTTCACTAATTTATAATAATTGCTTTTAACACACTAGCTGTTATAACCACCGAGGCAGGTGGCCCAAAAAAGAAGACACACTTTCACCATCACTCAGTCCATCACTGTCTTGCCAAATGGCCAATGATACTACAGTTCAAGACCACAAATATCCCCACCCCACCTCCAGAGTGCAGCCACTGTATGTCCCATCTCCAGGACTCAAGTCCAGCTAACTGGTAATTTGTAATGATCTGTGTATAAAAATCACACATCTAACGATAACCAAAATAAAAAATGGTTGAGATACATCTGGCAACAAGGGAATGTTTATCATCCATGGTGCAAGAATAGGCTGTAATTTTCTGAAGAGAAAACCTTTTTGAACACCTCAAGTCAAAGTCCATCCATTAACCTGTAAACGGTCCAAACATATATATACGTTTTTTCAACATTTGAAAGCATGTAAAAAAAGTAGATCTTTTTGTTTTTTTACATTTGAAAATGTGTAAAAAAAACTTTGATCTACTTTTTTTTTGTTATATTTGAAAATATGTAAAGAAAAACTTAGATCTATTTTTGAGCACTACACATGTGAACATAGATCTGCTTGGACCGTTTACGGGTTAAACTTTTATTTCTAAACAATTTTACAAAACAGCCAAACTAGAGTCGTGGAGGTGGGAAGTACAGTGCCTGCACTTTCAAGGACAGGTTTGGGATATTTGCCGTTTAGAGAGACACCTGAACTGTCATATCTATGTGTGTCTGGTAAGACAGTGAGTGTGAATGATGGTAAACTTTTTTTTGTTTTTTGGGTCAACCTGCCTCAGTGGAAGGCACCCAGTGTGTTATTTTTTCTTTTTACAAAATCTTTTATCTATATTCAACCATTAAACCTTCATTTCTTGACAATTTTAGAAAATCTTTGATCAAGACATTTCCATCTGGCAGCCTTACCTGTCATGTCTTCCAAAAAATCTTACATCTACATTGCCATCTCTCCACTTGACTGCTTTTGCTGGCCAAAAAGGAAATCCTTTCAATCTTGCCCATATTAGGGGGTGAGCAGACCTCTGTAGGGAAAGAGAACATCAAACATAAGCAGAAAGAACAAGTCTGGCCCTTAAGATTTTATGCCTGTTAATGATTCAGGTGGGAAATGGAATAGAATCCTTCCTCTGTAAGACACACTGTAAGAGGCAACTAAAATGCCAGGAGCAAAGGGCTGTTAACCCCTGTATAAATTACTAAATATAAAGAAAAAAAGATTCAGGAAATCCTCACCCCATGTCCCAGTCTGACTCAACTTACATTAAAGGAAATAGTTCTTAAGCAAAACACAGTTAAGTAAATATATATAATGAAATGTAAAGATATATACATATAATGAGTTATAACAATATAAAGATATATTCTTCTTCTTTCAACACGCCGACCATATCCCACCAAGGCAGGGTGGCCCAAAAAGAAAAACGAAAGTTTCTCTTTTAAATTTAGTAATTTATATGGGAGAAGGGGTTACTAGCCCCTTGCTCCCGGCATTTTAGTCGCCTCTTACAACACGCATGGCTTACGGAGGAAGAATTCTGTTCCACTTCCCCATGGAGAAATATAAAGACATATAGTGAAGAAATACTTTGCAACATTTACCTGCTATTTTAAATGTTTATGAGACAAAAAGAAAAGACCAGTAATCCAGCCAGTGCATAAGGTTCAACAGGCTTCTGATTCACACTTTTATGGCAGCATGATTGTATCTCCCTCGATGACTGGTGTCTAACAACCTACTTAAGCCCTTAATAATATGGCTATGCACTGGTCACTTAACATTACAGATCAAAGTACTAAATGTTTGTGTGTTTATATAGCTAGTTATTTGATGCCCTGCACCTACATGGATCATTCAGTGAAGTGAGTGGCGGAGACTTGATCCTCCATCCACTAGGTTAGATATAGATCATTCAGTGAAGTGAGTGGCAGAGACCTGATCCTCCATCCACTAGGTTAGATATAGATCATTCAGTGGAGTGAGTGGTGGAGACCTGATCCTCCATCCACTAGGTAAGATATAGATCATTCAGTGGAGTGAGTGGTGGAGACCTGATCCTCCATCCACTAGGTAAGATATAGATCATTCAGTGAAGTGAGTGGCGGAGACTTGATCCTCCATCCACTAGGTAAGATATAGATCATTCAGTGAAGTGAGTGGTGGAGACCTGATCCTCCATCCACTAGGTAAGATATAGATCATTCAGTGGAGTGAGTGGTGGAGACCTGATCCTCCATCCACTAGGTAAGATATAGATCATTCAGTGGAGTGAGTGGTGGAGACTTGATCCTCCATCCACTAGGTAAGATATAGATCATTCAGTGAAGTGAGTGGTGGAGACCTGATCCTCCATCCACTAGGTAAGATATAGATCATTCAGTGAAGTGAGTGGTGGAGACCTGATCCTCCATCCACTAGGTAAGATATAGATCATTCAGAGAAGTGAGTGGTGGAGACCTGATCCTCCATCCACTAGGTAAGATATAGATCATTCAGTGAAGTGAGTGGTGGAGACCTGATCCTCCATCCACATTCAGGAAGACTCGTATTACGACAATCCATTGACACACTCTCAGTTCACGGAGTTCACTACCTTATCACAGGTATACGATGAAATCATGTGGGAGTCACATGATTTCATCGTCTACCCGTCCTCATCATAGGTAGAGGTTGTTTTGATAAGGACCTGCCTCGCATGGGCCAGTAGGCCTTCTGCAGTGTTCCTCCATTCTTATGTTCTTATGTTCTTATATAGATCATTCAGTGAAGTTAGTGGTGGAGACTTGATCCTCCATCCACTAGGTAAGATATAGATCATTCAGTGAAGTGAGTGGTGGAGACTTGATCCTCCATCCACTAGGTAAGATATAGATCATTCAGTGAAGTGAGTGGTGGAGACTTGATCCTCCAGCCACTAGGTAAGATATAGATCATTCAGTGAAGTGAGTGGTGGAGACTTGATCCTCCATCCACTAGGTAAGATATAGATCATTCAGTAAAGTGAGTGCTGGAGACCTGATCCTCCATCCACTAGGTAAGATATAGATCATTCAGTGAAGTGAGTGGTGGAGACCTGATCCTCCATCCACTAGGTAAGATATAGATCATTCAGTAAAGTGAGTGGTGGAGACTTGATCCTCCATCCACTAGGTAAGATATAGATCATTCAGTAAAGTGAGTGGTGGAGACCCGATCCTCCATCCACTAGGTAAGATATAGATCATTCAGTGAAGTGAGTGGTGGAGACCTGATCCTCCATCCACTAGGTAAGATATAGATCATTCAGTGAAGTGAGTGGCAGAGACTTAATCCTCCATCCACTAGGTAAGATATAGATCATTCAGTGAAGTGAGTGGTGGAGACCTGATCCTCCATCCACTAGGTAAGATATAGATCATTCAGTGAAGTGAGTGGCGAAGACTTAATCCTCCATCCACTAGGTAAGATATAGATCATTCAGTGAAGTGAGTGGCGAAGACTTAATCCTCCATCCACTAGGTAAGATATAGATCATTCAGTGAAGTGAGTGGTGGAGACCTGATCCTCCATCCACTAGGTAAGATATAGATCATTCAGTGAAGTGAGTGGCAGAGACTTAATCCTCCATCCACTAGGTAAGATATAGATCATTCAGTGAAGTGAGTGGTGGAGACCTGATCCTCCATCCACTAGGTAAGATATAGATCATTCAGTGAAGTGAGTGGTGGAGACCTGTTCCTCCATCCACTAGGTAAGATATAGATCATTCAGTGAAGTGAGTGGCAGAGACTTAATCCTCCATCCACTAGGTAAGATATAGATCATTCAGTGAAGTGAGTGGCAGAGACTTAATCCTCCATCCACTAGGTAAGATATAGATCATTCAGCGAAGTGAGTGGTGGAGACTTAATCCTCCATCCACTAGGTAAGAAAAATACGTGCCACTCTTGCTACTGTTTACACACACATCTGCTTAATGTTTAAATTGAGGACAATTCACTTAAAAACAATACAGCATCAGATGTTTACAGTACAGTGATATCTCTTATTAGGAACAAGGCATGCAGAGAGATTTTCAAATGACTTACAATACTAAAGTAATGACAATTCAAATATAGATAACACTCTTTTGAATCTAAGTAATTTACAAAAAGAATCTGCATCTGTAAATGATGCTATGGGCAATATTCCCTGTACCTGCTAATTCTTATGTATAATATTCTGCCTGTTTAAAAAGAAACAACCATAGAAGAATCTTATTGTAACCAGCTGGCTTAGTGGCTAATGCACTGGCCTGCAGTTTTATAACTCACTCACCTTGGGTTCAAACCCCACCTGTCCTGTGGACTGCTTGCAATTGTTTTATAGCCTCTCCTCACTTAACGGCGGAGTTCCGTTCCTAAGACTACGTCAGTAAACGAATTCGTCACTAAGTGAGGAACATACTATAATGGTAATGTGTTTATGTCAACCATCTTTGATATTGTTTTAATGTCACCTTTGTACCATTTATAACATTTCTGGTATATTTTTAAATGCTTATACAGTAGTGTGCTGTATAGTGTAATAAACAGAATAGAGGAAATCAGCTCTAATTTAGGAATGCATACTGGCCAGAGACCCCATCATAAGTCCGAGTTGTTGGTAAGTGAGGAGAGGTTGTATTGTGATTTCCTGAGTCTGCCTGTTTAACTTCTCACGGTTGCTGTTTGTGTACATTTTCCTCTCTAGCTTTGCTAATGTAGATCATGTCTTCACACTCTGTCCACATGATTAGGTTTCTTCCAACTCTCTTTTGTCATTGTTCTTAACTCTCTTACCCCCTCCATCAAACTGAAAGCTAATGGGAATCTAATGCTTCTTTCCCTAAACTGGCTCTTCTTTTACCACATACTGTATAGTTCGGCATGGTATATACATTACATACTCTTCCTACCATGAACAATCTGATCAGACAAGTGTTCTCATTTCTATCCTCCTCCCTGTGCCTGTCATATCTGCTCTCAACTTTATCTAAAAATTCATTTCTTAGCTGTTTATTCTTTTATTTTCATCATCCTTCTTATTCTATAATGTGTCTGCTAATAGGACTCTGGGTGTAATGGCTTAATATAATGAACAAGTTACAACAGAGACAATGTATATCACTAAGCAAAATGTCTTAGTAAACAACTGTTTTGCATACTGAGTCTTTATATGCATAAGAATGTACTTTTAAAAGGATTGTCTTCTCTCATAATCCTACTTCCACAATGAAGACACCTAAGCTTTGTCTTCTTTAGACAGTATTTCTAATTTACAACAAAACCTTAATAACACACCTTTATTCCATGGTTACAAAACCTGCACTTTGTCAAACTAATGAACTTCAAATTAATCTGGATCGTATATCTCTTCCTCCTAAGTTTTTTTTTGTTTTAAACAAGTCGGCCGTCTCCCACCAAGGCAGGGTGACCCAAAAAGAAAGAAAATCACCCAAAACAAAATACTTTCATCATCATTCAACATTTTCACCTCACTCACACATAATCACTGCTTTTGCAGAGGTGCTCAGAATACAACAGTTTAGAAGTATATACGTATAAAGAATACACAACATATCCCTAAAAAACTGCCAATATCCCAAACCCCTCCTTTAAAGTGCAGGCATTGTACTTCCTATTTCCAGGACTCAATTCCGGCTATATAAAATAACCGGTTTCCCTGAATCCCTTCACTAAATATTACCCTGGTCACACTCCAACAGCTCATCAGGTCCCAAGTACCATTTGTCTCCATTCACTCCTATCTAACACGCTCACGCACGCTTGCTGGAGGTCCAAGCCCCTCTCCCACAAAACCTTCTTTACCCCTCCCTCCAACCCTTTTGAGGATGACCCCCCCCCCCCCCCCCCCCGCCTTCCTTCCCCTACACATTTATACGCTCACCATGTCATTCTACTTTGATCCATTCTCTCTAAATGACCAAACCACCTCAACAACCCCTCTTCAGCCCTCTAATACTTTTATTACTCCACACCTCCTAATTTCCACACTCCGAATTTT